CCAAGGAACGACCCGGGCGGCAACCCAGAATTTGTGATAAGCCGCAGTCTGGGACAGACCAGGAAACGACTATTTTTGTTGATTTCGTTGCTCAGCGCACGTCTCAGAGTTGACATGAGTCCCGAATGGTCAACTAGGGAGTTACCTGTACAAGAACCAGTCAAAATCCAGTCAGAATCTATCAAATCGCTCTCAGTGATTCCAAAATCTTGACTAGGAAAAGTTCGCAGAGCCCGTTTCTCGCTAGAATCTATCCAATTCTATGCAAAATACCCAAAGGGAGTGTATTCTAAAAGGCATATTCGGTTTGGCGCTCAGTGGAGACTCGAGATCGACTTCTCCTAGATAAGGGACACCCCTATCTCTGTTGGTATCGATGACTGACATCATTACCTGTGATCAACGGCGACTCTAAAACACTGTCGAGGAACTGATCATCTGAACATTGGAAATGCGCCAGGAGAGTTGGGACAACCACCGCTGAGGCCATACGCACAAGATACGAGTTATGGGTGTCAATCGAAAGCTGGGAAGCAGAGCTATCCACTTATCCTACTCAAGATCGAGGGATACTTCACAAACAAAACTAGATGGTCGCGAACACGGAAGATTTACACAGGTCATTGACACCAATACACGCGATACCAGTCATCTGGACCTGGATTTTTGACTCTGGGCCGTATGGCGAAACGATACCTATACAGCTATGCACATGGACTACTTTTCTTACTCATGATTTTCCCTGATTCTATCAATTTCTGTTTAGTATTTATATCTCTGTTTTGTATTTGGCAGGTTCACGGATTGCCCCGCTTTACTAGGTGCATCTGGGGATCTAGCTCGTCAATCTATCTTGCTAGCTCTTTTGAAATAGTATCATCACGTCGGAAGGATTATTGGTTGAGGGTTTCGGTTGCTGAATACAAGAGTTCCGGTTGCTGTTTATTGGGTTTCGGTTGCTGGTCGGGAGTTTAAGGCAGTTAGTTCCTGACTCGAGACAACTCAGAGGGTTTAAGGCAGTTAGTCCTGATCCAACGAGTATAAACTCTCCGGGCATCGTATTGGCGCTTCTCTATTGCTGAGTTTTGTCAATAGTATGCTTTGGGGCACAACAAATCAACGTTTTTCGCAAGAAACTCGTATCTACCCTACAACCTTACACATCTGTGCCAAGGCTCTGTTCACAGGGGCCTGTACTCGCACAAGGAGTTGACGATTTTTGGGTTTTGTGACTTTTCCTACTCGACATTATACATCTTTCTCTCTACGAAAAGTGGAGTTTTGGTTGTTTTTGTTGGTTTGGTTAGTTAGAGAGCACATTTGCTGTCCCCACTCCGCACTCATCACCGTTCCCAACGACAACGGCCTCCTGCGACCCTCTTCTCGCAAACAGCAGCACATTTGAAGATGTCCGGCTGGAAACGCGCTTAGAGTAGCCAAGGTCAGTGAATTTGCTACCCATTGAAAGCCATAACTTACCTGTCTCTCGTTCAGCAGAAAGCTCAATTGATGCGTTGGCATTCGCAGCTTCCGCGGTCGCCAATGGCGAGCGTTCACTTTTGCAGAGGTGCTGGCGCCGGTGATTCCAATCACAGGCAACGACACCAATACTCACCTTTCTCGCAAGGGGCCCACAAGTCAATTTGACACTTTCCCTGCAAACAAACGACGTCTCGCAGGGCAATCCCGGAAACGCCGCACAGGCCACCTGTAGTTATGCACATTTGACAACTGCACTGAGTGCACTGAGTCAACCTGGTGTCAAATCCACTAGCTCCACTGAGGCCTGAGTGCAGCTAGTGCATTTGTCTTCTGTTCCCCTATAAGACTGATCAAACTTTGATATAACATCAGTATTAATAATTATTATACTTAATAAATGAATGTCAAGTTCCTTTTCTTCAGGCCGAAGACCCGTTATATAATTTGGAAGACTATATATATAGAAATAATTAATAATTCCAATTTGGACAGAAATGATATAGCTGGTTACAATCATCAAAACTTGTGATGGCAATCAAAAATGTTTCCACATTGATGACATTATCTAGATGCCATCAGTTCCATCATCAATTACTATAATAGTAGTCTTAAATAAATAGAATAAGCCTTTAAAGGAATGGGACATATGTGACAAAAAGCCCTGCTCAGTGTATTTGACAACTGTTATGCTAGCTGCAGCTAGTTGCATTTGTAAAAATATAACGGCTACGGTACCTACCACCACATGTTTCCAATGACATAGAGAAAGTGGTCGCTCCAATCCCTCCTTCCTCTGCAGGCCATGCTTCCTCGAATAACGAGACGGATGATAGGCCGAACAAACGAGACGAGCCGGAGGACTCAGTTCCAACCGATAACATGGGCACAGTTGTTCCATTCATCATTGAAAAACCCGCTGACTGCGCACCATGGCTGGAGCAATACATCGTGGAGTTCTGCGGCGCGGATTTGGGGGACACGTACCGTCGGACAGTAGTCGCACTGGTTAAACTCGAGCAAGCATATGGCTATACAAACAATGGGGAAAACTCCCGTTGAAGCTAAGACCAAATGAATTCAAGGCCTGGTTCTGGTTTGGTCGACAATGGGGCACGCAACGCAAGGAGCTTCGGTTTAGCGACGATATCCCTGGGTTTGTGCAATGTTGGTGGGCCTGGTGGACTTCAATGCAACCTAGCTGGCGGCGCCTCAAGACGGATGGCTCTGGACGACACGAGCAGACACCCTCCGATGGACGAGTGTGGGGGTCATTGGCGGTGCCGGGGAAAGATGGGTTGCTATTGGTTGTGGCATCGCGAAGCTGGTGGGGGCGAGAGGATGGTGTCTCTCGCTCGAACGAGTGGACGGAGGCAGCTACGGATGTGATTTGGGTGCTCAAATCGATGGCGAAGGACTTGCTAGATACCTAAACGACACTGCGGACTTGAACTTCGTTAAAATAGAATGTTTTTTTATATTTATTTGATACATTGTACATGCGAAAAAATTAATTGAAACTGCGTTTCTACTGTACGACTGACAAAATGCGACTGCAAGCCGCGAAGGACTTGGTCGCAAGAGAGAGAGAAAAGTGACAGGAAATGTTGACTTGGTACAAGATTCCACTTACACTCTGAGGGGGGCTTGAGCCTGCTACGCCCAGGAAAGACTTGACTGGTTGTGCGAAAGTGGTTGTGAAGTATCAATGCGCAGAGACTCCAGACTCTAGCAAGTTGTCGATATAGCCTTGAGAAACAAACAAGTGTACATATACATGGCAACCCGGCTGCAAGCAGAGATCAGTTATTGACTGCCATAGGTAGCTGGGCCTGCCCAGCCGGCAGAGAGGCCAAAGGGGGGGGGTGCTGTGGCTGCTCCAGGGCTGTGGGGGTGGCCAGGATAGAATCAATCAGGTGCTATGGACAGGGCCAAGGATTTTTTGATTTATATTACAGCATGGGCTCCATTGCTAACGTTTTTCAGTTTTTACCAGCGGCAAAACGCGTACATGGCTGGGAACATTCCTTCGCGCCCGACGAAAGCAGTGGTCGCGGCATGTCTCTAGGGAGCCTTCCAAAGCCAGTTTCGAGAATGGCACGGATTTCATTCCCCTTGACGGCAACATTGACGGCGAAAAGCACGCACGAAGGAAGGCCAAGCAGTGGAGCTGTTCTCGTTCCAAATCACCACCCGTGAAGAGAAGGCAAGGCATGGATGGGCAGGAGGACATGCAGGCAGACTGACGAGATGATCGCATAGAGGAAAATAGCAACGAGCGGGAATGGGAATGCGGCAAACGCGGCTACCCCCTGGTTTTCGACTTCCAGGAAGGCTCGGCCTCTAAAAGGCGGAGGGTGGAGCCGTCGGAACGGTTTACACCTTGGATTGACCAGGTGGACTGGAAGAGCTGCAAAAGCCCGGCGGAATTATGCCAATGCTTTCGAATACAGGTGTTGTTCCGGGTCTGCGAGCGGGGAGGTAAGTTTCTTGTCATTCATCTTCCCTCGCGTCCGGCCGAGTTTGCTGTCATTCTTGCAGACTTCGCATTGGGCTTTCAAACCGTGGATGTGGTTCTGCGAGCGGGCTTCTTGAGCCGCTATTCATGGATGCTGACGTCGTTATGCTGCTTCGTCGGGATACCGAAGTCCGATTTTACGGAGGGAGGGCGGTGAGGAGGACGTTTTGGCCGCCAAGGTGCGCGCGTTCCTGCTGTTTATCCTACTCCTCAATGCTGATCTTGTTTATTCATCGAATTCTCACAGAGTTGAGAGGGCGCACGAGCAATTGATGGGAGGGTGGTTTCTCCGAGATGGAGATGTTTGCCCTGGGTCGATTCAGCGAGCTTCTGCCAGCAGAATGGCGTCGTTTTGGCGAGAGAGGGCGGCTGCAGTCGTTGCCAAAGTCATTCCGGCCCCAAAAGTGCAAGTTCTTGCTCTATTTGTCCTTGCTGACCTTGCTTGCAGCTTGCTTGCGACTTGTCACCCTGTAAAGCTCGCACCCGTGGCTGTAGCCTGATTCAATCAGCCCTGGCAGTTGCCACAGTATCAGATTTCAAACAGACTGGCACAGCCAGCGGCCTGGCAAAGCCACACATATTTCAACCATCTGCCTGCCGGCCCTGTGATTGATATTGATTCCTTGTCATTGTGCCGATCCTCTGCCGTTTGTCACCCAAATAGTTTTAACACAACCTTGAATTGGTCCTAAAGTACTGCCTAAACTTGGTGCGGTGCTGGAGCTACAAACAACTCCACTAGCACTGGCTAAGCCACTCCCTCCCTTCACCTAATGTTGACAATTCCTCCAAGCCTGTGACCAGCACCGAGTTAAAGACTCTCGCTGGTTCTTCTGCGAGTCGTTCTTGCTCGTTCGCGGCAAAAGCCCTCGTGATTGTCACGCTTGCGACAGCTGGCACAAGTGATTGGAAACTTGAATAGAATTCAGGACAGCGAGCGATACAACAATGATACCAAGTCGTTAACACAAACAAGCAAGCAAACACAATTCATATGTCCGTCTCAGAGAATCTGCATGTCATTGTCTGTAAGTCCATCGAATGCACCATCCAAAACACCTTCATCCTCCTTGACAACGGCTCGGACCGCATTTGCAAGGGATCTACCCCATTCGGAGTAGAAGCGCTCGGCCATCCGTCGATGAATGTCTACCTGCCGCAATGCATAGGCCCGTAGGCCTGCAGCAACATGCATGTTGACGTCGTCCCGTTGCCTGTCAGCACGAACCTGCCACTGATTCTGCGTCCATCGGAGCGACCGCAGGACTCGCTTCATTTCCTCTCGCAACAATTCGACCTCCTCCTCCCATCGCTGCTTACGAGCGCGAGCTTTTAGACCACTCGACCCGAATTGCTGTAATGTAACCGTTGAGTTAGAAAAGCGGAAATGTTGGGTCCCACTTACAATCATGAACCTCGCTGCCTTTGTTGGACCCATGCCAAATCCAAGAAACCCGGTTCGTAACTCGGCGGGTGTTCGGCTCGCTGCGTGTCTTTCTTGACCCATCTGCTCCATGAAGCCGCTGCGTGGCTGCTGCATCGATCTCAGCTTCAAACCGACAATTGATATCCTCGTCGTTGAGCCTTTTGAACTCAGGCGCAAAACCCGGTCCTTTTAGAGCAACGATGGCGGCTTGATTCGCTCGATAAGCTGCCACGATCCGAGCTATTGCCTCTGCCAATCGCGACATCAACGTCGCCGACCTTGTACGTGCTCGTTGCCCAACCATATGGCGGTCACGAAACCATATCATATGCATTTTGCGCATAGAGGCGAAGTTCGCAGCGTTACGAGGGCATCTGCACATTGCCCACACCGAACTCTGGCTTCTGTTTCGATAACGCGAGAGGTGTAATTGACCGCGCTGCTCGGCCGTAAGATCGGAGGGAAGATATAACTTGATATATTCAGGCTGACATTCGGGCTCGTTCACGTCGCGTTTCGCATCGTCAGCTTCGCGCAGAGTTTCAATGCCAGGCATGTAGGTGAGTTGCAGATGTTGAAACGAGCGCAATTGTTTGAGAAAAGACACTCGGAGCTCTTGAACTTGGCTCGCACGGTCGGCGGTCAAGGTCTTGCTCTTAAGAGTCGCTTGAATCTTCCGTCTAACAGACAGACTTTGAATTAGATCAAACCTTCAATTGAGAAACACCACTCACTGTATGTGTTGCAATTGTAATCCAGCTTTGATGAATGCAACCACAGTCTTCGTCCCCTCCAAGAGCGGTGCATGACCAGCCCGAGCTTCTTCGACTTCAGCCTTCTTAAGCTCGTCCACGATTTGACGTTCACTCGGTCCATCTATGTGAACTCAATCAATGAGTTTCCAATCCACGCAATAACAGACCTTCCTGCCCACCAACTATGACAAATGGGCTAGCGTTCGACGTCGGATCCTTGTACCAGGCATCCATGCGACTTTTCCACTCTTTTCTTTTCTTGCTAGAGATGCTCTTGTCGAACTCCGCGAATTCAATGCCTTGCACTCGTCGTTCAGAGATGGCGACAATCAAGCGCCCGAGCAAGTGTCTTTCCTGGGCGAACATCGTCAGTGCGAAGTTGGAGATTTCATAAATCGGACACTTGCCTAAGTGGATGTTTTTCTCGAAATTCAACTGATCGATGCGATCCTCCAAGACATCTAATCGTGCGCCTTCCCCCATCTCCTTAGTCGCCCAGCTTGCAGGATTGAGGCTTGCCCAAACGCGCTCCATTGCCTCCCCGTCAGTTTTGCCAATTCCCAGGAGATAGGCAAGGGCAAGTTGCGCTCGACATTGAAGCTCATGGGCGCCAGCATGCCAAACTGGAAGGCCAAACTGGATGTCGACGTTTTCGAATTCTGTGGCTAAATTGCTGGTATCCGCATTGCCTTTCCGTATTTTTTCGATGCGTTGGAAAAAGTTCACCATCCATTGGCAAATAATGTCATATGCAAACCCATAGCTGAGTAACTTCTCCATCCAGAGTGTGCAGGCGACAATCCAGTCCACATTCGCATATCTAGGGAAGATCAGACAAATAAACAGCTGTGATAAGATGAATACTTGTACCTTTCGCCCTTCTGAAGATCGCCGAGTCCTCTTCGGGCGCACTAGACCATGTCGAGAACAGACACAGCCCGCTACCCCGGAGACACGAAGACCAGTCGTGAGACGTGTCTCTTTTTGGAGTAAAGCCGCGAAGGCCACGCAAGAGCTGACCTGAACCTGATTAGTATAATTGTCATTAACGAGAACACTACTTGCGTCTTTCTCCGCCACATAATTCTTGAGGTGTTCCTTGTAGGCCGTCGACTCCACGAAATAGCCCAGTCCTGGTCCTAGAGACGGGTCGTCACGTTCGTTGGCACGCAGGCGATTCTTCAAACGGAAGTTTGCGTCGATAGAAAGCATGAGCTTATACAGGTATCTGAGAGACGTGAGTTTGTAGATGTGGAGTTCACAGCAAAACAGACTTGTTTTGCTCTTTCACATTTTGCCAGCCTTCCGGCAAATTGCGACCTTCGTCTGGACAAGCCCAACAAAGGACGGCTAGCCCTCCGGGCTTCGTTGACACCATCCCGCCAGGCTCGTGAGCTCTCCCTGCCCGTTTCATGCGTTTTAAGAAGTCGTACTGCCTAGCCATACGACCAAAAGCCTTGTATCGATCCTGTAAGTTATGCCATCTCAGAAAACAGCAACCATGCAATCACTAAGCAACTCACAGGTGTATCCTCGGTCTGAGTTGGGTCTTGTTGCCTCTCTAATGCACAGATAAAATCGTGTGTGGTGACGTTGCCAAGAGCCCGCAGCAACCGGAAGTGCTCAAGCACCGCAAAGGTCGCACAGGTCGCAGGACTGACCACCGTCGCCGGATACCAACAGTTGCGAAGTAATTGCTCCACAGTGTCGGTGCCATTGGTGTTGTTGCAATCACAATATTGAACGTCCACGTTGTAGATGCCGTTCATGTCGATAACCACCATGGCTCGTCTGGCGCCAGGGAATGGGCAAACATCTCCATCGTGGCCCAGTTGATGCAATTCTCCGAGGCCATTGACGCCCTCACCGCTAGTTTTGCGGTGATAGAGGGAAACTTCGGGTCCAGAACTGTCCGGTCCATTCCTGAAGGAAGCCGTCAATAAAAGTGAAGGATAGAAAGTGTAATGTAGCTTACTTGCAACGTATGGAGGGGACGCCGAGCATGCTCTTTTTTGACACAACCCTCACAAAGAATGTGGTCGCCGCATTGTTGACAGCGAAAGAACCGATGGTCGGTCTCAGTTATGGGGGCTAAACACAGCTTGCAGTGAGCTCGGCCGCCCAAACCGTCGTGCCGGGCGAGCTCTTCTAAGAATACTGGGGCAATGCGCTTCCACATGAGCATTGGATCATCCTGAGACAGATGAGTGTGTATTATAAGCATTTTTTTTCACGCACAGAATTGTACCGCTTTCGTTTGGTCAGTTCTTCATCAAGAATAACGTCGAAGGAAGATATGGTGGACGCTATGGCGTCAAGCTCCTCTGCGTCGTCTTCAGGAAAGGGCATCCAGCCCTGGAGTTGCGGGTCGGCTTCTTCAACCTTGTGGGTGCGAGGACGCTTTCGAGGCGACAAATTCAGACCAGCTAAGGTTCCCCTTCGTCCATCGACAGACAGTGTGATTTGCTCATCTTGGGGCTCCAAATCGATATTGTCGTCGAAGTAGACATGCCGCTGAGCGCGAGTCAGAGGCGCCATGAAGAGTTTTCAGAGAAGAGAAGAAGAATTGATGATTTGATCGGGCCGACAGACGAGTTTGTCATATCGGATTGCAAATCCCACTGAAAACATGAAAAGTTTTGTATTTTGTACGAAGAACGCCAATGAAACTAGAGAATAGCGATTTTTGTGTATCTAATCCTCAACAGGGCCAGTCAGCCGGCCACTGCGCAGGGCTAAGAAATCTGTAGAGGTAAATCGCTCCCCCACTTGAAGGTCAGTATCGTCCTTGTTCTGGCTGAGGGGAAGGGGTCCATCGAGATATGCCTTGATTGCTGCGTCGCCTTCGCTCGACGAAAGTTGAGAAAAGTTGGGAAGGGCCAGAGTTGGAAGACGTCTGGTCACCCGAGACGCGCGAAATTGCGATGAAGGAGGTTCTGGGCTCGCAGGCAAGGTATAACCCGAAAAGTTACGGAGTATTTTCTGCGGCAGGGGTCGTTTGAGTCTGGGTGAACCTGGAGATGCGCGAAAATTCTTGTTGTCCTTTCGCCTGGACAGATGCTGGCAGACTGGCCACATCGAAGCGGCCGACACACGCGAACTGGTAGCATTTGCGCGGGTAGGCGAAAGACCCGGGATGGGGCGGACGCGGCCCTCAGCCTCAGCTCTTCGAGTCAAAATTTCCGTATCTGCCTCCACGGCGATGAGTTGCCTCAACACAACGGGGTCTTGGTCAGTCGAGTAAAACGACTCTACAAATGATCCAGTAAGCGAATGAAGGCTAAAGCCGATTTGAAAACATACGCAAGCTGAGACCTAGTTGCGCTTGCAGAGCACGAGTTTCGGTGGTGTCGTTGAAAAAGTCGATGAAGGCCTCAGCCTCCGACTCGGAGGCTGTTAGAGTCCCAGAGTCCTCCGAGTCCGAATCCCCCGCAGATGGTCGTGGGTGGATTCGTCGCGTCAGAAGGAGGGCTGACCGGCGAGTCAAGACTTGCGCATTCAAGGTCGCCGCTCACTACTCGGCGGCGTTGGTAGGGGCGGCGTGGGGCTATGGGCGAACAGATATCAGCCGTCATTCAAGTTAGATGTGTGCCAGTGCATTGCTCACATTGGTCAGGGGATCGCCGTCGTGTGCGTCGTGCTGAGTCGAAAGGGTGAGTAAGTACTGAGAGCTAGGTAGAATAGAGGACACGAACAACGGGGCGTGGTCACTGGAAGCGGCGAAGGAGACTTGGACATTTGTTTGGGCGCGTAAGTTTTGGGGCCGCGTTTCTGTTGGGGCGACGAAAAAGCAGATGGCGTGGTTCGGGTTTAAGTGAAAGTCTGTGAACCCGATGCAATCGCCTCATGTGACTGCGTTGTCAGTACGATCGCCGTTGGCGAAGAAAAAAAGGGCCTGAATTTGCCGTACTCGCTTGGGGACTTATCGCCAAATGACGCATCTTGAAAACTGCATGCATGTTGCCAAGTGGGTCTACTAGTCTCGTACTCGTAGCCATCAACCTGTCGTTTTTTCAAGTTGGCCGTCACGGTGACGCTCGCAGCTCCTTCACTCGATGGCTAAGACGGCTAGGAACAAGAACTTATTTGGTGCGCACCGCAATAGCTGTTAGACGAACGCACAATTTTTTTTTCGCAGTTCCGCATTTCCGGCCTCCGGGTGCCAGGGAAATCCCCCATGGTCAAGCGCTTTTTGGTTACACGCCTCCTGGCGTGCATCAGCAGTTCACTGCAAGGACGCCCATGCCGACCGAAGAAAACCTTTACCGCAGCAAAACGCGTCCCCCGTCCATGGACAACGTCGTGGCAGACACCGAGGACTTGTGTGGCCTTTGCCATCGGCTCTTCTCCTCGCCCGTCCAGTGTGTCGCTTCCTTCCTTCAAGTGCTCAAATCCCCGACCATGTTGACCACTCTCCAGACTACATCACATCCCACTGGATTTCCGTTGGGTCGACGACCCGTGCGGCCATAGCTTCTGCTGTGTCTGCCTCTCGTTATGGCTGATCGAGAACCACGACTGCCCCACCTGTCATCAGCGAATCCACCATCGGCCTGTTCCCAATCGTCGCCTCCAGTGGGAAATCCGACGCAAGTACTGCCAGCAGTGGTACGATGCGAGCACAGTCGATATGCGATTCAGAGGTTTTCATTTTCCAGCCGAATTCCGTTTAGTTCGCTTGTACCCCGGGACGAATCGTAGACTGTTGCCAATCTAATATACTGATTGCTGGCCTTGCTTTCTTGCCCGTTTGTTTGCTTCTTACAGACCGATGGCCGGGCGCGTGCCTGTTTGTGACCACGTTATCGATTCCTTGAAGTTTGCCACTGACAACAACTTACAAAGCTCAAGCATGTCCGACTTGACCCACGACTCGGAGCAGGCGGCCACCGCCCTTCAGGCGCAATTAGCAGATGCGCAGCTTGAAGTTCAGAGACTCCAGTCTCAGGTTGCCAATATCGAAGGCATCCAGCTCGTCCCACTACACAAGAAAATTAGAAGTATGGCCTTTCTTTTCAGCAACATTCAAAGACGAATTGACCATTTTGAAAGCTCATGCAAACGGGCTCTTCTTCGCCATTTTTCGGGGCCGAAAGATTGGGGTGGCTGAGGGCTTGTGAGTGCAGCTAGATAAAAGATAGGAACTCCGACTCCAATTGACCGTTTGCTACAAAGCTCCGCCCTCCACCAAGCCGTCTGGGGCTTTCCGGGCATGATTTACAGGTCGTACACCGATCTTGATATGGCTCTCAAGGCGTTGTCCCACGCAGAAATGCTTGGGCTGACTTCCAGCAAGACGATAGCGCCAGGAGAGTTGCATTTACCCATCTCGATGACGCCACTCCCTGTCAACATCGAGGACCTGGATGCCGAACCAAGCCTCTGCCCTGGAGAGTCATGGTATGTTTGCATTGAAGGTATCCGACCAGGCGTATATGCAACATGGTGAGATCTATTGTCAGTCCCAGACGTCGAAGGACACTGATAGCGAACTCAGGATCGAGTCTGCTGCCAACTGGCATGGGATTGAGGGCGGTAGACATAGACAAGCGCAATCGTTTGAAGATGCTCTGGAGATCCTTGCGCGTGCCAGAAAGGATGGGGAGTTGCGGGTATCGAGGGTTGCTTCGACACAACCAGTAGGCAGAACCATTAAATCAGACCCCCTGTTGGGTTGGGTGTACGTTTAACGTGGTAATGGTATGTATTGAATCCAATCTTCAACTTGAAAGTACATCAAGGTTTGCCCTCACTGGCACTCAACTCCTATCGCTGAGGAAAATAAGGTGTGGGGCTGGCATTGCTCTTGCTTGGAATATGTCGTTTACACGCACTTGTATCGTGCCATTCTCTGACGATTCACGATAATATCTCGGTGTCTACATTGGAGCTCGTCAATTCTGTCCCAGGAAAGAAAATGCGGGAAGACATACGTTTGTCGATAGCGACGGCTTGCCTCTCGACTGCGCCTTCTTCTTCTCTCGTCCTCCGAGGCATCCTTCTGTATCAAACGGTCCCTAGTGGCCAGAGGGTTTGATGTCAATGGCGCCAGGAGCTTCGTGGCTTGGCTTACCGCTGCATCCGCTCTCGTGCTTTTTTCCTCAGCACTAGGCGATTTCTGTAGGGCCAAGGCACTCATATCAGTAATAAAGGACTGTGCTTAGTTCACTGACTTCGTGCGATACTTAGCGCAAGCTTCTCGTCGAGCCACCAATGCAGAGTTGCTTTGGAAAGTTGAAGTCATCGTGGCACAAGTGGCAGTGTACAAACACGGGCCGTGACAGTATGAAGTCAACGAGAAGTGCACAGATTTCATTCAGTGAACTCATTACACAAGCACCGTCGATATGTAACTTCGTAAGGTTCTCCAGTTCGCGTGGTGAATGTTGTAATGGCGGGTTCGCTGGGGTGAGGACAGACTTCGCCCTGGATAGGCTCGCTGTGTCCAAGCTGGTAAACGTAACCGATAGAGCTCATAAGCTCGCGCCGCCAAACAGTCCCATCCCAACGCTACCCAAAAACATTTAGGAATCCAATCAAAACGGCAAATTGGAGGGCTAACCTCGATATATGGGCACACCGCGCGACGAGCATGGTCTATTTTGAAGCAATCCGCGCAGCCATAGAGGCCCGTCCGACAGTAAGGAGTGCAGCAACGATATAGTGGACCATTCGAAGAGTAGCACCAAGTACAATGAAACGGGCCGCCCAGTCGGACTTCGCGGCGCAACTCACGACGTCGAGCGAGGTAAAAACGTGGGTTGAACATAAGTTGACGAAGAGATGAATCTGAAGGTCGGGGAGGCGACGAGTCTGACGATGCCGCTTGCCCAGCTTGAGAACGTAGAACTCGATCGGAGGAAGGAGTTCCTGGGTTGGATGTAGTAACTTGGCGTCGCCGGCGGGAGGGTGAAGGGCGAATGGGAGAAGAAGCGGTAGAAATATTGTTGTTGTCTGCGCCATTGCCACGGGAGCGCAAGAGGCGATTCCGCTGGTTTCGGCGGACCGGCGAATAGAGCATAACTCGACGAGCCTGCCAGTGAGCGGCGGCGAGGACTTCAAGTTGAAGTGTCTTGAAATCCGTTGCTGATTATATGGAAGTGCAACCTAGCCAGACTGGCGCATTACAGCGGCTTGTAAGAGTTGAAACACTCTTGAATCTAGATAACCCTGTCGCATTGGTGACAACTGGAAGGTTGGCACACTGGCGCTGAACCATTGTTTTGGGCCAGCAGGGTCGCAAATAAATGTAGCCTAGAGCCTTGGAGGTAAAACTAGGCGGGTTAGCCTGAGATCTTCGTTACGCGGAGGCATGAACCGCTCAAATTGGGCAGATTTTGCCGTAAGATCGCGAACAAATTTCACGCTGAGAAAATGATGAGTTTGGTAACCATGAAATGACTTGGCGATACTTGCAAGTTAACAGCGAGTGCGACAGGCTGCGGACGCGTCGAGCTCCGCGGGATCGCTTTTCCCTGTTTTTTTTTGTTTCATGTGACCCAATTGATTGCTTCTTTCCGCCATCTCCACCACAAGCC